TTCAAGTTTACAGTGGAAATTTTATACCAATAAATCCTTTTCTCTATACTCTAACAGCAGGAGACATAACTTCTCGACTATGAACGCCATATTTCTGCCATTAGTTTCGCGGAGAGAATCAAGTACAGCGTAAATGTGTATGGTGCAAGGGGCAAATTTTCTGGTGTTACAAACAACTTTTAACTTGCAACAGTCCTTTGTTAGAATTTTCTGATCATACTGTTATTGATCTTACTGCCTTGGAACACTGAACTTATAAGTGAGATGTTGGAGTGTGTCGCACTCTGCCTATCACATTATTTTCCAATAATCCAATGAGCATGACCACAGATAAAAGTTTAATCACCATGAAGAAGTACTAAGAAAGATCTGCGGTCCACCACAGTGCTCAAAAATCCACCTACCTCACGAGTTATGCTTCAAATTTTCCGGAGAAAGCATTATCAGAGCCCTTCAGCCACGTTTCAGGACAGTACAATGCAACTTCTGTTGCTCGACCCGCATTTGCGATCGGACTTAGTCGACATCTGTTGCGATTTAATTATAATATAAGTCCTTGATTGTGTAACGGAAGATATGCAAGGGCAATATTAGTTTATTCAAGATATTATTTCTATTCTCAGGTAAAATGAGCATGAATTCAGTGGAATGCAAGCAGTATGGGGATTGAATAATTCCACTTTTGAGCACAAAGATTTAACATCTTTAAGTTCTAAATCAGTTCGATACAGAATCGTTCCAGCATGTACGAGTTAGTGTGAAATTATGAACATCGAAGTTGTGTCAAAAGCAAGCTCTGATCAAACGTGTTGAAATTATAGGTTTCGATCGGTGCAGATGGTTTACGCTCCCGTGTACCACGTCCGGAAGCTTTGGAGAGATTTAAGGCAAAAAATGCCATTGCAAACTCCATACTACGCCAATACTTTCTACGACGCAATAGTGAACCAGATAATGATGACAGCCACTTCAACATGAGCGACTGTTGAGGAAATAGAGAGAAAAAGAGAGAGATTACAAACAGAAAACTCTATATGTGTTCACAAGAGAAATAAAACATGATAATATTGTGTTAGAGAATGATTCCTTCAACAGTTGTCAGTTGATGCATTCTCGTTTTTCGTCATCAAACGAACCTTCGAGGTTGAATGTACCAAGATCGATCCACTGTTCAGGCGTTGGATTACCGTTGTGGATGAACTTCTTCGGAATAACCAGCTTGATTTTGCGTGAGCATGGCTGAACGAATCGTTGCTTTATTATTTCAAAACTGCCCCATACGGAAGCATATAACATCTCTCTATTTTAGTATTAATCTGAATCCATTTGAACTAAGCGAACAGCGCTTTGATTACTTTTATCAGCTACCACTGCCTGCTTTGATTGATAAACTAACTGACAGATTGTAGGCTCAGTTGAATTGATTACTACAAACTGACTGTTTGTTCATCTCTGCACTCATGCCAAATGTAGAGGACGGGATCAATTGGAGTCAGTTCGTGAGTCGTTCCACTCAGTTCGAAGCGGCCAGTTCCATCTACACGCTTCTCGTCTAGGGTATCATCCGGATCCGGTCCTAAAACGGTTCTTCAAGCTTATTTTCGAGATTCTGAGTACCACAAATGTTCTACTGCTTCAGTATCACCATGAAATCGAGAAATTTATCTCGCATGTCACTTAATGGATTTATAGCTGTAAATTCATACCACCTATAAAAGCTCTCAAAAGAGTTCTTGTTGGTCACATGCATCCAACACCTGTCAGTGTAACTGGGATAGAACCAATTTGTGCTTGCCAGGCCAAACCGTTGACGGTGGTTGCTGATAGTTTGGTGCCTTGTATTGTAGAAAGAGTGATAGCAGAGCAGGCGTAATGCAGTTCGTTCGCACGCTCCCCCGTAAAGGGTGAAATACGAGTTTGATTCTCATCTGACGCTCGCAGTCTTGCATGTAACTCAGTACTATTGGAGAAATAGACCATTCAAACCAGGTATATTTACTAATGAACGCGTGTAGTGGTTAGAGAAATCGTGGGATACACATATGGTCTGTCGTTTAATTTATCGCTTGAGCTAAGCAAGCGCTTCATGCTTCATTGCTCGGCAAATTTGTACGAAGTTGTCTGGGAGGACAAAGGCAATCAGTGATACATTGATAGGTCTAGACAGCTCTTTTATATGCAGGATATTTATCAATCATTATGACGACGTCTCCAGTCGAATATTTGGCCTTAGAGATACTGAGGGATGGGTCAACTTCGAACGCTTCTACTGTGTTTACGCTTCCTGAACACAGCAAATTCAACAGCTTTGGGTTGAAGATAACAGCGCGACATACCGTAATCGATGTCGACAATACGGACTTTGGAGTGGTTGGCGGCACGTAGTCCGCACATGAGCTGCCCGCGAACGGCGACACCCTGCTTGCGCATCGCCCAACATGTCACCAAGCACAACAGCACCTGAAGGAGTACGACTTCCCAAAGACGCATCTGAAATTCAAATGTGATATCTGTGAGGCTTTTCTAAGATACATTCCAGATCTACGAACCTTTTTAAGGATCTGTTGTTGATAAAAAGTTGATCCAATGTACTATGCGAGAATATAGCTGAGAGGTGGCTTTGAGAAAAAAAAAACTTCAGATTGACATTATTAATCATAATCATGTTAAGAAGAACAAAAAGTTGGAAGATTGGGAAAGACGATTTTTTTCAATGATCATCATATACTAAAACAAAACTTTGCTTTTTCTAAAAATGCGCATATATTGTGGGAAACGTGAAACTTGAAGATGACAATGAGGTACGACCGATAACTATAATGTTTTTTTGTTGTTGCGCTATTGCGTATTCGGTCCACAGACAGTCTAGATTCTGGGCAAACAACACACTACTGAGCCAGCCTCTTTGACTTATTGACGTAAAAAGTGTTCCTTTCCAATAATTGCCATCAGAAAATCTGTAAGACAGAAAATTTCATCAAAAAAATGATCAACGGCTAGGTTGGAGTAGTGGTGAAGAAATTCAGTTTCAATAAAATTTAGAATAAACTTGACATTGTCTTTGAATGTAGAAAGATTGATTGTTCCATTAGTATTTGTGAGGATAAAGAAAACTTTGGAAAAGGTTAGAGCGTCTACAGGCACTAGTACGAATGTGAAGTTGTTAGAAGGAAATGAGTGACGGAAAAGTAGTGCATAAACGACTCTTTATCAGTGCTTATCAGATTGGCCAAATAAACAGCAAACGATATCACTGACAAAACATGATGGCGCTTTTGTGCAGAATCGGCTGACAATCGTTTATTTATAGCGAATACATGTGTAAGGAGAAAAAGTCTGTGAATTTTCTCATGTAATACTGCCACTCTTATATTTTTTACCCGTCGTGTATCATATTTTTACTGTCCGGATCCCACTAGTACTAACATTGAATTCGTCTCCCATTTATCGCTTCCTCAAGGACTGCGTCTTCTTCATAGGCGTCGTAGAATGCAGGTCGTGCAGATTTTGTAGTTTCGAGGATAGTCAGGCGGGAATGTTTTTTGATGCGTTCGTTGATTAATTGTTAGAGAATTTTGAGAGATCAACCAGCACCGAATATCACTATCCACTCGACCACCGGTGGCCGTCGACCTTATAGAGCTAAAAGAAATTGAAGTTTCTTGCAATAGCAGTTTTCAGGAACATGTATGCCTTCGGAACTTCAAGATTCCACTATTACAGCATTCCCGATTCCGCACCTCTACAGTGATCGAACTTCGCGAAGACTTTTCGTGACGCATCACGGTTTCTTCTCAATTGCACCGACTACTGCGATTTATCTGTTATGATCAGTTTTTTGCGAGAACCACGATAGCAAAGCAATCAACGTTTGGCATAACTAACTCCCTTTTATTTCGACAAAAGGTAAAGGTCTTGACTACACAATATCTTTGAGCAAAAATTCCAAATTTGGTGAGGGAAAACGAACTGTCACAGGACAGAAAGTCACAGATATTTTTCCATAATTTGCTCAGAAATATGTTGGTCTGATGAAAGGAATTTTTTTAAGTTCGGCTTACAAGGTGTTCAGTGTTCATTCTTGTATGACTCAATAACAACAAATTCGCTTACTCATTTTATTATATACGTCTTCGGATACTTCGCTACGTATGCACAGATTTTGGGACACTTGTCGTTTGCCATTCTGAAGTTTCGCTTTCAAAGTGTGCTTTTTCTCTGATCAATCGTAACTCATTAAGGAAATAGAAAATCAAATCGAACACTAAAACGAGGACCTCAAAACGACTAGTTTACATAGTTAATACTATTCACTGATAAGTAAGTATTCGCAGACACTTCTACCGGTCTGGCGGCGGTATGCATTCATTTCGTTGCTTATCTATCTTTTCACTTCACCTTCCTAACAGCACTTACAGCTTATTTGAAAGCAACAGACAAGATTATTCACGACAACGACTCGGATCTTTCTTCAAAAACCACGTTCTCCTATCCTTATATAGAAGAAAAAAAAACTGAATTTACCGTTACTCCTGTTCCTCCTTCCAAAACACAACATTCCACTTCGTTGGTGAGGAACCAAATAACACTTCTAGACAGAAAAACTTGAAAACTCTTGAATACCTTCCGCCAGTTCTGATCAACAGACTTACTCAATTTTGCACTAGCCACCTGCCAAAAAAAAATCTTATTCAATAGAAAATCAAGAAAGTGTTGTTTTATCATTGACTTAGAATCTGGCACACAACAAAAGGAGACCTTCATAACATTGGAAGTTATCGCCAGATCTGCTTGCTGTTTGGCATTCAAGTCGTTCAAAATGAGCTGAAATCCTCACTAAGTGTTTCTGAACAGAAATGACAGAACACTGGATGAAAGACAGCCGTGGGACAAGTAGGGCTTTGAAGAGGAATTAGTATCATAGACCGTATCCACGCGATAACAAGATTCATTAAACTTTCACAAGAATACCCAAGAGACTTGAGAGGTAGACAAATGCCCGACCACAGACGGGACTTGAACCTGCGCTTCAACAATACCGGCGGTGCGTGCTACCACTACACCATCGAAGCCACCGCTTAACCACCACTCATTCTTCGAGATCTCTCTATCGTAGCTATGAGCTACTAATTTTCAACAGGTCTTATCGGGTGTGCAATATCGCTCTACATTCCTAGTTAGCTGACAGCCATGTACTTATGTAGATCCAAAAATCATTGGTTTTGACTGCTTTTCCGCAGTTTTATAATGTTTCAAGTATACCTAAGGGATCTGAGTGGCAGACAAAAATTCGACCTCAGATTGGAGTCGAAGCCACGTTTCATCCATACCGGGGAGTGGTATCACAAGAATGCATGAAACGGCTCTATCTCACTTTCATCAAATTGAAGAAGATCTTTGATTTAGCTGCAACAGAAGCAGTCTAGAAGCTCTGAATGGCGCGAAAGACCCAGCTCATAACATAAAGGTATTTCCTGAGCTATATAAAGACTTCAGAACCAAAACTTTATCATTCTTTAACGATATTACTAGCGATGTAGTGAAGGAGGTCTGACAAGGTGGTACCATTTCGCCATAGTTAGCCACTGCCATCATCTCATGCAGACAGAAACCTGAGAGAAAGATGTGATGCTTAACAAATTCTTGTTGCTGGAAATACCCACTGGGCTGTTCTTGCACGCGATAGTGAAAAATAGAATTTATCTGATACGCGCTCAAGTCACTCGTTAATCAAAGGGACCGCAGGTGGTACGGGTGTTCTATTGAAGACGTGCAGCAATTTGTAGCTTGATCTGTGATTGAAATGAGCTCACTACAATCTATAGATATGTTGTCAACGTGGTCCAAATCTACATTCATCACTTACGATAAAATACCCTTTTTATCGACAAAAAGAGCGATTTTGCCCCAACCAGGGCGACTATATTCTAAATCAATGCAGTGGACAATGTTCGCAACTGTCGCATTTGCATCGAAGTTTTGTAGAATCTATCACTTTGTTGATAATGTGAATTATAATTTATATCCTATAAAAGAAAATTTTGTGGTTCACTGATAGCTTTTACGATGTTGCCACAAGTCTTACGCGGTATCGTCCTCTTTAGGGTCACGTTACTTCGAATACACTGCCGCAGTCATGAAGTGTATTGAAGTTAACGGTTATAAGTTGCGCAGGAGTGTGTGGTGATAGAATTTGCCTTATAACATGTGATAAAACAAAATCCATGCGTCAGACAGTGTAGTGACGAGTTTGCCTAGATAATGTGGATAACCATGTCCTGCTTCGATCACATAATAAGGTCTGCTAAGTCAAATAGAACAAATTAAATCGAGTCTTCATCGATAAACAAGCAATAACGTGAGAAGACATTGTTGACAACGTTGTTGATATTCAATGATTTCAGATTGATATTTCAGATAATTGATATTTGATGAGTTGATATTTGATGATTTCACTTCATTGTTCCACCTTCATTGGATCACCACCAGTCGATCTCCAATTCTAAAGCAATCTTTCCCTCTCAATTTCCCAAACTGCCATTGGACATCGGAAGTTTTTCCTTGTAATATAAGAGGTTAGTTTACAGTAATTCAAAATACCTAATTTCGCAGATTCAGATGATCAGCACTCGTCTACTGGCCGTATACTTCTTAATGGCTTTTCTTGCCGCTTGCTCTATCGCAACTCAGATTATTGTCTTAAGAGAATCAAGGAGGTTCCTCTTTTAGAAACTTGTATTTTTATCAGATTGTTCCAAAATAATGTTTGAACCAACTGCTTTATCCACCTGATTTATGAAATTCGAGAAAACTTATCTAGATTAGCTGACGCGAGGTTGGTAAACTAGTCGAAGTAATTCGGCTGTTTGCGACTAGTTTTCCATCCTCGCGTCGGCTAATCAAGATAAGTTTTCTCGAATTTCACATATCAATGAATCATGCCGAGGTTCACAGAAAGTTGGACCTTTGAATTGTTGCTTTATTTACATTGCGCAAACTGAATGCACTGTTTACAGCCACCTTCCAATCTATTCAAGCGGCGGGACGAAGGTTACCAAATGACATGTCGGATAGATTTTTGTTGTAGTCTTTGCTACTATTGGATTCTCTTTATGAACACTTTTTCGAATAAAGTGTTCATAATGAACCAGCTTTGCGTTCAAGGTTATAAAGGTTCATTCAGTATCTATTCTCGTTAACACCCTAAATATGAACGTTGATGAAAGAGAAGAGACATGCATTGAGTTCTATGTGGCGGTGAATACAATTTGGCTAGAATGAAAATTAATTCCATATAATGACTATGAAGATCTACGCCGCAAAAAACGGCAATTTCTGTGAACCTTTAACTAGATTTAATTGAAATTACGTGGCTCTAAAGATGGTCTTACCTCCAGACATAAGTAATAATAAAGTTTTGTAGCAGCCACGCGTAAGCTTAGCGATGAACCAAACCTCGCGCACTACTTGCGTATTTTTTTAAGCATTGGGTTTTTTGAACTCCAAATATTTTTTGTCCATTAAATTTGACGTGGATAACTAATGTTATTGATCAGTGAGAAGTCTACAACATCTTATTACATATCTCTATTGTGACAGACAATTTACATAGTGGATCTTTCACTCGAAAGTGGGCCATAAACATGGAAACTTGTAGCGTGAACATGTAAACATTGGGACATTAGAAAACGAAGCTAAAATAAGGAGTGCTCTTAGGTCTTACTGTCGCTTAAAACTCATCACTCGAGGCAGCTTTCAGGTGTACAAATAAAACTCCGCCATTTTTTCGCAGCATGTAATCACTACAAAAAATTTTCACGCTAAGATTTATTTAAATATAATTTCCGTCATTAACAACAACATTTCCTCAGCTTTTGGAAAATTTATGAATGTCATCGAAGAAAAGTTGGCAAAATTTGCAAGATTTTTCAAAAATTTGCTATCTTATAATTTGAATCTGGTAATTTCAAGTAGCAATCTAACGATGCAATGTCGGAAGAGTAAAGCTGGTAAGGTAAAACCTCCTAAGATTACCGACATCAACTCTCCTCTGTCGTTTTCGATGGGCTTTGCAACATGAGGCCGAGCCTTATCATGCACCAAAATCAGTTTGTCGTGTCTTACGACCGATGCCGGTCGTTTCGTTTGCAATTCATGATTTAATCTGGTGAACTGTTGTTAATAAAGTGTGCATCAAGCCTGCGATTTACCAGATCTCAAGAGCTCATAGTAGAGAATGCCTTTCTGATCTCATCAAATGCACATCTAACCTTCTGTCCGTGAATAATCCGTTTTGCAGTCGACTTTGCTGACATCCTGGGTCGCTACATGATCGCTTGAGCTTTGGACTGTCAAAAAAAGCTCACTTTTCATCTGCATAAACTCACTTTTCATCTGCAGTCACTATGCGATGTAAAAAGCCTTCATTTTCGTCGGCGACGATTTCCTATAAATTATACATGAAAAGTAAAGCTTCCACCAAATGGCGTTTCTCGGGTGCATTAGTCGTCATCTATAAAGTCCTATAAAAACCATAATATGAAATATGTGGTATATAAAAATATAAAAATAAGTAGCGTTTCTAGCGCACTTCCAAACAAGAAAACTTCACATCTTCCTTTTTGTTGTTGTTATTCTTTCCATGTTTGTCATAGCTATAAACAGCTAAACGACGAGTCACATATGTCCACCTAATAGTTCGAACTGAACAGTTTGTTGAAACCAACCACACAGACAGGAAATCCTTGAGCTCAAACGACAGCTGAAATGATACGTGGAATATATTAGCGCAAGAGCTGAGTGAACTGTGTTGGGAAAAGGAGTAGTAGAAAGACGAATGCTTGAAATAGAAATGACCCATTTGCTTGTTAGATGCCAGTAGCCTGTGCGGGTTGGTGCTCAGGAGTGCAACAGATTTGAGCTTCAAATAAATTCGATAGGTTTTTAGTTTATTACAAAAGTTTTTTCTTCATTATCAGCTTGACTCTTTACATCACAAATTACCTTCTGATTTTGTTGCTACTCACTCAAAAACGAAAGTCGAAGCAAGATCAAGCTCTCAAAGCTTGTAATGCTAGAGTAGGAGCTAGAATTATAATAGAGCACATCAGCCATTTTGTGCTTTTGATATCTCAATAAAATCTTTCATCTTCTTTCAAAAAATACGATCTTCTACGCGAAGAAATGAAACAATTATCTGACATGAGCTCCGAAAACAGCGGATTTTCTTTGCAATAATTTATAGCTCATAAGTTCTAGACGAAGATCAGCAGAATTTTATCATCCCTTTTCCATCAATAAGATAACGATTGTAAATTTTGTACCAAGATTCTCGGCATTAAATGTGAATCACAAGGCTGCGACGTTTTATGAAGCTGTAACCCACCGATAGACATGTGCTTGGCAGTATCTGCGCTCTATCGAATCACCTGTTTTTCATCACAAAAAACTCAACTTGCAGCTCCCACATTGCCAAATCGGACCGGTAAATTAGCGAAGATGTGTCTGCCTTTCAGTTACAACGTTATTACGTTATTTACTGACAGATGTGTTTGCGACTTATCACATTAATCGTGATAATTCAAACTCGTCGCGGACTTATCGAGCCTTTCCGCTTCCCTTACAAGTTCACAAATTGCTACCGAAAAAAGCTCTGGATCTACAGCACATCCTCCATTTCGCATGGAAAGCCATAGTTCGGCTACTTCAAGATTGCACCGGAATCAACTCGATCAGCACTCTACGACATTCATGATGAATACCAAATCCACAAGCAGCAACTGGAGTAACACGAAGAATATTTGAAGAATTTTGTTTATGACGAGTGCATGGGAATGAATAAAATTAGGGAAGCATTTGAATGTGCACGAAATATGCCGCAGCTGCCATGTAAAAGATTAAATGGATAGTTGTTCTTACTAACCATTCGGCATTGTTCGCAAACACAACGTCCATTTTTGTTACTGACTAATAGCTACAAATTATATTGCCATTTTTGTACTATACTCGTCTGGGAGTTGCTGAACTAGTTTAAACTAATTTTCGGCGAACACTTACCATTATGTGATAAATTT